TTCTCTCGCAAACCCGTCATCGTTGAACGGCAAAAAAAGGGAACTCGGTGAGCAATTTTGTGGTACGGAATTTTCACTGAACATAAACCGCGAATTTACGAATTTCACCACTCCCAACCGCGAAACACGTTCAGAAGCACTTTTGGTACACTTTCGATCAATTTCTTTCGAAAACACAAAAAAAAAGTTGCAAGCGAGCCAACATCAACACCCGAGTCAACACCGATTGTGCCGAACTCTTTCACGCACCTTGCAGCGCGTAAATAAACTGAAATTAAAAATTATCACTCGCGATGCCACTAATTTCTGGTCCGGGAGAAAATCAAATAACGCAGATTGCGACATCTCTTCTGTACTTTTTTTTTCCTTTGGTTTGTTTTTTTCGTCGATCTTGTTTTCCGTGCTGAGCACCAATGCTACCGACGTGCCAGGAAGGCAGCTCCCACACCTGGACCCTACCTATCGACCCATCAACTCATGAACCGGGGACCAACGGCTTTACTTCCCATCCGAAGGAAGGCGTGATCAGAGATGTTATGCCTCAGAACATCCCGGCGGCGCCGACTGGGGTTGAACCCAGGCCTGCTGGGGTGAGAGGTAATCACGCTTACCACTACACCACCGGCGCCGTTATCTCTTCTGTTCTGATGCTTGCAAACATGTTGAATCACGTTTTCTTTCTCTATTCTAAAACTTCCCGGAAAGCGAGAAAACTACCAATCACACACGTATAAACGTCAGAGCGCCAGCGCTAATCCGGAAAATGCAGCCGAAAACTATGAACGCGAACGCACGCACAAAACAGAGAACAACACAACCGTATCCAAAGGCGTTCGAAACTGCCAAATATCTTGGATTAGTACTTGAGCAAAAATTATTTTATAAAGATCACATTGAGGGCATTCAAGTCAAATGTCAAACAAATATATAAATGTTTGTAAACAGGAAATCAAAACTTTGCCAGAAGAATAAACTTCTAATATTATACAATTTTTACATGCTTTACGCTATGCCCATATGGTTTATAGTTGTTGCACTATCAGGAAACAAGCACATGAATTTTGAAGCTGCCTCCCCGATATAGTACTACCATAGAGGCAACTCTAAGCCCAGAAGGTCCCGAAGAAACGTGCTCAAACTTTTCAAAAAAAAAGCTGCCATACAACATAGTATTACCAGTATTTCGCTACTGGCCCTCTACACACCAAATTTAAGTTTTCATTATCAGTAAAACGAATTGCTGGATCACGATCACTAATCCAATGCTATACTCTAAAACAGCAAACGATATTTTTACCGAAAAAATCAGCTAACATAAACTAACACCCAGTCAAAGAGCTGTCAAACTGTTAGCATCACAGTCGCAAGTATTTTTGCATTCGTATACACTAAAGAGCCTGAATGGATAAGATGTCGCCTCTTTATAAATTCAGGCTCTTTAGTATACACCACCGGTCAAACCGGAGGAAGAGGAAACAAAAAACTACAAATAAATAAATTATGCAGGTAAGGACACTGGCTCGGACTCTGCACAGCCAAAAAAGTTGTTGAATATTACATCGAAACTGCTGCAACCAGGTCAATCCATCGGTTGTGTAATATCACATTGAACGAGGTACATCGATTTTGCGAACAAAATTACATCCATTGATGTAATATTGTATCTGCTTTTTGCTATTACATCATTATTTCATACATCAGCTTGAATTACGTTGATCGATATTACATTTTTTTTGCTGTGTGGTTATATTTTTTAATAAATGATACTTGGAAAAGATTTTGGCGATTTTATCTTTATTATTCGTACATTTGTATCAACGATCTTTTACAGAAGCTGGAAGCTCATATAGTGAAAACAAATTCAATTTACCGAATTTAATAGTTTAATCAGCAAAATGCTGCCAAATGTCAGAATTTCGAATTGCTGAAAGATCAGTAAAGAAATATTGCTGATTTTTAGTAAAAGGTTGTCATTTTGACAGAAGTTGGAGTTACTGAAAAATTCAGCAGCATTATTTTGCTCAAGTCTAAAATCAGTAAAATTTTGCTGATTTACAGCGATTTAAATTTGGTGTGTAGATATCGCTAAAAGGGTTGGCAGGCATTGGAGGGTAACGTCACGCTAAGATAAGATTACCTAAAATTAGGTTTAATTTTTAGCTAAAATTAGGTATTGTTGCTAAAACCCATAATATAGTTAAAATTTACCGATAAATAACGTTACTTTTTACTAATATTATGAGTACAGTGCGTTTTCAAATATTTACTTTATTTTTTACGTAAAATTGGGTGAAAATTTTGTCACTGTGCAACGATCAGCAACGCTGACGACAAGTGTGTGTGCGCATTAAAGTGAAAGTTACTAAAGTTATTTGAAGAATGTTTGAATACAACCAAAATTTAATTAATTGAATTAAATTTCAACGACGACTTATACGAAGTGTGAGTATAATTACAATAATTACCTATTAATAATCTTAAACAAATAAATATAAAAATAGACTGGTGATGCAAGCAAAAACTAACTTCACTTATGTGTTCGTACGCAAACCCGTCAAATCATGATCAAATACTGATGTTTTGCTAATATTGTCTAATTCTAGCTATCAGTAGCCATCACCTCAACATCCTGCAGACATCCATCCCGTCTTCTTGCTGGCATCTCAACTGATTGTTTTTGCTCCTGCTGCAGCTGCTGTAAGCCTTCCGGAAAGGAACTCGAGCACTCGACGGCTTATGGAAACCAGATTATAAAAGCAGAGTGGTCCTCGGAGTGACATTCAAATGACCAAACGACAGTCAATCAGTAGGGTGAGTAAAATAAATTGAAGATTACAGATTGAAAAGAACTCACCAGCTTTTGTAAACAAAATAAACAAAAATTGCAATTAAACGGTATTCTGCAACTATTTTGAATATACTTGCGTGTTTCATTAATTGTGCGTGGTACAGAATGTACCATCAAATCCGAAAAAAAAATCCTTAAATAGGATCTGCAGCGCTCGCAAAAAACTATAAAACAGAAAAAAAACCTAATTTTCGGTAAAAAGTAACGTTTAAATATAGGTAATTGTTAAAGTTTATGATTCTCAACCACCAATACCTAATTTTAGGTAATCGATGTTTACCGATAATTTAGGTATGTGCACTTTTGTTCGATTATCGTTATTTTTTTACCGATTTTTAGGTATTCCTGTCTTAGCGTGTATAGGAGTGATGAGGGGTGAAATAGTGAGGGGGGAAACGGATCAACGGTTGAACCACAGACAAACAGACGTAACTCTTTGAAAAAGTTTTTCTTGAAAACATAGTATCTGAAAACATAGACCTCAGTAACGACATCTCTCGGGCTTCTCGCGGAAAACAAGCTTGCTCGCTAGCTCGCAAACAATATTGCATAAAAGTTCTATAGAATGTATAGAAACGTCAAAGTGATCCGATGCCAGCGCTGTGGCGAGTAGTTCGCGGAACTGATAATATTCAAATCAACCGTTAAATGCATGAACGAATATACACAATGAAGTGTTACGTCTGTTTGTCTGTGGTTGAACGTTCTAAAAGCAAAACCGCCACTCGGTGCAATTCGCGGTTCATTCGCCTCCTTCACGTTCTGTCATCCATCTGTATTCCACCGAAGATTATACGGAATATATTCCGATCGAAAACATGTCGAAAAGATTTTTTCATACAAGCATTCATACGAAATTCGCGTCGCTTCACCTTCCAAAATGAGGTTTGGTGGCCGCAGAGACCAGTCAAATCTGCGTTTTGTAGACAGTGTAACAGTTTGTAGTAACCCAACACTGCCCAATGTGCGGCCCGCGGGTCAGACGTGGTCTCTGTATCTCAGCGATGATATCAGTCTAGCCTAATTTTATTCATCATTATGATTTTTTGCCCAGAATGAATGAGAAATAAACAAAATTCAGCTTGAAACATTTGTATCGAACAAAGATACAACAATTCAAAAAAGCAAGTTTAAAAAGGTTGGGCAGGCTTGAGTAACCCCTCAGTAAGTTTGCAAAATTATGTAGCGGTTAGTGTGGTTTCATATCAATGTTTATATTTAAAAAAAAAACATAAAATTGTTTGCGTTGTAGTTTTTAGACTCTCGTAAAATTGAGCTTGTGATCAGGGTGACTTATTTGCTTGGCGCCCACCATCAATGCGTCCGACCGATTTTCAAAGCCGACCTCCACGATGACACTAAAACGCCTATTAGAGGAGGCAATTGAGGTGGCGAAAAAATTCTAATAAAACCAGAGAGAAAAAGGATCCTGTGAATGTTTAAAAAAAAACAGTGTCTGGGTTCAATCCTAATCGAGGTCGGTGGGATTTTCTGAGGCATAACAATACCTGGTCACGTCATCCTTCGGAAGGGAAGTAAAGCCGTTGGTACCACGTTGGTACCATCCCATGTTGATGGGTGTGATATCTATCTAGTGTAATATACTCAGTTTGTAGTGAATTTGATTTAACGTGTAGAAAATCCTACCCCTCTTATTATCAATTCTAGCTGTCAAGTTTCGATAAGAATTGTCTAAGAAGAAAACAAAGAAGAAGATACTTTTCGTGTACGAGGTTTGCTGATACCAAGAGGAAATAATGAGCTCTCTTCTGTTACTACTGTTGACCGGACTAGTTGAGTCTTTTATTAAGAAGAAGGATATTACATCTAGGTGTGGAAACTGCCTCCCTGGCTATTCGAATGCCATCAATGGATGGCACTACCTCGGTAGTACCAACCGGTGGAAACTAACGATTTTAAATTGGCTCACTACTTGACTAGCCTATTGGTCCCAAGTACATCTATAAGCGTGCCTAATTCTAGTCTAAATTCTAGTACTACGTTTAATATTCAAACATTTTCTTTTATTTTTTTTATATTTCAAAAGGAACACTAAACCCCGACAGTATAAATAATCTCGAACGAAAAGAAACATAAACTGAGCGCACTTAGATCAGGGTGTGTGATATAATTGAGGTTCAAAATCAAAGTCTTACAATAAATAATTTAAATATTAATTTGTTCAACTAGTCATCAAAAGTTATTCTTCCAGGCCCATGATTTTTCATGTATCGACGATAAGCTTTATATCTAGGATTATCTGCCATCTGCCGCTTCATCTCTTCTTCTTGTGCGTTCTTCCACGTTTTATAGTTTGATTTTATCCAAAGTTCTTTTTCAAGATGCTCGTCGATTTGTTCACTCTCTATTGCTTTGAATTGATGGACACCCAGATTCATATTTTTTCGTATGAGATATAATTTAGCTTCTAAGTCGTAAGGCCTTTTCAACAGCGAATATTTGTATATCCATGATACATTCCATTTTACGTACTTGAACATAGTGTAGGGAATAAGCAAAATCTGTATCCATAATATATCTGTGATTTGCGGTTTAGCATACGCTCCTTGGATGTCCAAATTTTCTTCGATTACCTTTCTTATATGCTTTTCCGATTCCTCTTTCATTTCACCTTTTGAAAGTTTAGATTTCGACGTTCCCTAGAATAAGATTAATATCAAACAATAAATACTTAACGTATAATAATAACGGATAGATATATCCATTTTACTCCGGCAGTGACCAGTATAGTATACCAATATACTAAATAAAATAAAAATAACAGACAGCGGTTACTTTGAGTAACAATTCACCTTAGCACGATTTTCACCAACATTAGAAACTTAAAACTTGACCATTTATGAATGGCTGTGCATGGTTAATGCACCATTTGGATCAGATTTGATGCAAGATTTGTTTGATATTAAAATAATTGTAATTGGTTGCTGAACTGTGAACTGAAGAAAATTTCCGGAGAATTTCGAGATTAGGGCGTAATTGCTTTTGTAAACAAACACTTCATTTGATGATTTCTCGCGAATTAAAGCTCAATTTAAAAAACTATCAACACAAACAGGTAAATAAATGATTCCTCTATCATTTGGCATAATTTGTTCACGAGATTGTTATTTTATTCTTGAGAAATCAGCGATTGACATGTTTGTTTACAAAAGCAATTACGCCCAAATCTCAAAGTTCTCCGGATTTATCAAACTCGCTTGCTTGCCTTGGCTATCGAGTGTAGCGAATCTCGGACTTTAATTCCAGATACCAAAACAATAGCATGAACTCAAATTTAGCCATCTTACAAATTTGAAATGTGCATATAATAATAATACCAAATGCACTAATTTCTACGTTTAATTTGATGCAGTAGATACAAACATGCTGTCTTGGACAAAGTTGGTCAGATGGATTGTCCACTTTCGACTGAAAATCTCCTAAATAAAGATATGTTCGTGCAGGCGACTACTACCATAGAGGTAACTCTAAGACTAGAAGATCCCGCAGAAACGTGCTCAACTTTTTGGCACAGCTCTGGTACTCTCATCGGTCCCAAGCTAATCGATTCACCCCTCGAAACATAGGAAAAACCAATAACCCCTCATTTTATCTGTCAAACTTTCATAGCGAATCAAAACAAATATTGCATAGTACTAGAATTTCGACTAGAATAGGGTACGTTAATCGTTTGCTTGGGACCAATAGGCTACTAAAGTGGTGAGCCAATTTAAAATCGTTAGTTTCGTATTGATTGTTGCTACTACTGCCTCTACCCTTAACATAAAATAGGTACTGTGCCTACCCAAAGATGTCACCACTTGTCCCCGTATCATTGTTATAGCTTATTATGTACTGTTCTTGTTATATTACAGTAAATAAACGTCTGTAGTACTTTTACCTCCGCCATGGAAGGACGGTCAGTAAATCGATCGTAAATCATTATTTTCGACTATCACACAACGTACAAATTGGGTCCTATCCGTGCGCGATCAAGATATAATACATTCAAAGTGTTTTTATGTTACTTCATACGCGAAGTTTGCGATTTTCAGAGTTGGTTAAAAATGGTATCTAACATGAAGCTTTAGTGTGATAATTTATTATTTATGGTCTTAGAAGAGGGTAGGTAGATAGTTCCGTTAGAGTACAGCAGTATAAAAATTGAATACAAGTTGAAAATGAGCGAAGGGCCATTAATGCGACAGTATAAGTCAAACGCACACTTCTTTGCCTTACCCGTACGGTGTACGCGGATATTTGAAGTATGTCTTCAAATCTACAAGTAAAAAGTGTGCGCTTGGCTTGCTCATATACTGTCTGCGACTGTGGAACAGTTCTAGCGACGTTTAATCACTACCTAAAGCCCCACGTTGCCAAAAGCATTTCCAGTCGTTACCCAACTATTGTGTTGCTCCTCTCGTCATGACCAACTTAGCCATCTCAGAGAGAAAGCAGTAGTTGTTGCGTTCTGTACCATCATCAGCATTGGTGACGGCTACTCACGCCTTGAGTTGTTACATTCAAAGTGTTTTTATGTTACTTCATACGCGAAGTTTGCGATTTTCAGAGTTGGTTGGAAATGCTATCTAGCATGAAGCTTTAGTGTGTTGTTCAGATGACCTGTTGGATGGTGAACAGTATAGTTAACAACATTCCACGTTCTGCTAGCGAATGAGCAACATCAGGGTCTGTTGTCTCGTCACATGGCATTGCATTGAAAGTATTTTTTCACCGCGAAAAGTTTTTTATTTGCAAGTAGTTTTTGTGCCTTAGGTGACTCGCGCATTTCGGAAGGAAGCAGCCGATCCTGGCGAAGCCTACGGTCGGTCTGTTCAACTTTAACCCGCTTCGACGATATCGAAATTCTTGCCGCATCATTAGCCATAGTTAGCAGCAAGAACGGTTAAACAGTGGCAATCACACGGACTGGAAACAATAACCAGCAGAAAGCAGTGAGCCACCGCACGGACGGTGTGTACGACCGGCATCTATTGTGGCAGAGCAGCAACAGTATAAGCAGTAGAAACGGTAAGGGCAAATAATAGCACGTATCTGTTTTTTGTATACCCATTCCTCTGACTGTTTGCTTGTGAATCGTCTGTCTCTCCCCCAGTGGAATCGTTCCACATAGGGTGGTTCTTTAATAAAAAAAATAATTACTTCTTAACGAAAGTTTTCAATTTCGTATGGATGAAGGACAGGGGGGTGTCAAGCCTCCCAATGATAAAGTAAGAAAGCGTCATTACCAGGCGTCTTCTGCTTCGCCTTGGGTTGTCTACTTTCGGCAGAAAGAGAAAGCCCCAAACTTCTTAGGGATTAAAAGAACGTTGACGCGTCGTTTCCCGGGGACCGAATTTCATCAGGTCAATCGGAACAAACTGCGTATAACTGCACTCACATATAAAGTCGCAAATGAGATTGCTGACGACGAGGGTTATAATGAAGAGTATTACGTCTACATCCCATCTCGAGATGTGGAGATAGACGGCGTGGTCTCTGCAGTGAGCCTGACGTGTGATGACGTCATGGAAGGTATGGGGCGCCTTCAAAATGCTGCTACATCTACCGTGGACGTTTTGGGTTGCAGGATATTGTATTCAGCGACCACGGTAGATGGTCAAAAGACTTATTCCCCTTCAGGCTCACTACAGGTGTCTTTCGCTGGATCGGTTCTCCCAAAGTTTTTAGAAATTGAAAATGTTTTTTTTCCCGGTGCGACTTTTTGTACCAAGGGTATATAATTGTACCAACTGCAAAAAGTTGGGACACACAGCTGCTTTTTGTGACAACAAGCCCCGTTGTGGCAAATGTAGCCAAGACCACATGGAGGGTGCTTGCCAACAGGAAGCAACTAAATGTGCTTACTGTGGCAAAGAACCTCTTCATGCTTTGCAGGACTGCCCCGCGTACAAGAAGCGTACCAACAATGTGAAGCGTTCAATAAAAGAACGCTCCAAGTTGACGTTTGCAGAAATGGTTAAGTTGCAAAATGGAACCTCTGCTTCGTTGGCATCAGCCGCTCAAAATGAAAACACTTTTGAGATTTTGTCTTCCGATGAACTGGACTCTGACATAGCAGATGAGAGTGAGTCTCCGGAGGTACACGCCCCCGGTAAAAGGAAGCCGACTAGCTCCCCGGGAGTGCGCCGGAAAAAAAATAAAACCAATCTCAAAAGCATGCAAAAATCTGAAGGTAGCGGGGATTCATTGAAAAAGCCGAACAAATCGGTAATTGCTGCTCCATCTGATCCTTGCTGCAGCTTTTCCACCCCGCCGCTACCTAATAAAGGTAATCGTAAGAGATTACCAAAAATAAACACCACGTCTACTCGCAATTCAAAGAAAACTCTCCCGTCCAAGCGAGGAAAGATTAAATGTAAGGACATTGTGGATAACATTTTGAATGCCCTCGGCTTTCTCGACGAATCGCCACTTCGAGGGCTTATTGACCTGCTTGTTCCTATAGTCGGAAACTACTTCAAGCAATTGACTGCATCATGGCCCCTCATTGGTGAATTCATATCTTTCGATGGATAATTCGTCGAGTGAGGATCAAGATATGATCACTTTATTACAATGGAACTGTCGTAGTTTAATACCTAAATTAGACTCGTTCAAGTATTTGATTCACAATTCTGATTGTGATATATTTGCACTCTGTGAAACTTGGCTTTCTTCTGAAGATGAACTAAACTTCCACGATTTTAACATTATCCGCCTGGACCGAGATGATTCATATGGTGGCGTACTTTTGGGGATCAAAAAGTGCTACTCCTTCTATAAAATCTCAATCCCAATAATTTCAGGCATCGAAATTGTCGCTTGCCAAATAAATGTGAAGAACAAATATCTTTGCATAGCTTCTGTATATGTCCCTCCAAGGACTTCCATAAACCGCCGTAAGCTTTGGAGTTCAGCTAATATCCTTCCATCTCCAGTTCTAATACTGGGCGATATGAACTCACACGGTACTGGTTGGGGCGAATCATACGATGACAATAGAGCGGGTATTTTCTATGATTTGTGCGACGATTTCAACTTGACTATCTTGAACACTGGTGAAGCAACACGTATAGCAAACCCTCCTGCTCGAGAGAGCCGTCTTGACATTTCTTTGTGCTCTAACTCACTATCATTAGATTGTCTGTGGAAGGTTATCAATGATCCCCATGGTAGTGATCACTTGCCAATTATTATTTCAATCAAAAGTGGTCGTCTAAAAACAGATCAGTCAATTCAAGTTCCATTTGACCTCACGAGGAACATTGATTGGCAAAAATTTGTATCGGCGGTAACTCTTGGTATTGATTCTACCGATCCTCTACCACCACTGGAAGAGTATCGTTTCTTTACCGAACTAATCTACAAAAGCGCATTAGAAGCTCAGAAACGACGTGTTCCAAGTGCATCCCTCAAAAGAAGACCCGCCACCCCTGGATGTGATGACGAATGCACAAAGTTGTATCTTGAGAAATCCGATGCCTTTAAAGATTATCGTAGACATGAAAGATCTGAGCTTTTTGAAAAGTATCTAAAGCTTGAAAAAAAGCTTAAAAAGCAAAAGCAAAGAAACGAAATTACTGGCGTACTTTTATCGAGGGACTTTCTAGAGAAACCTCGATGACAACGCTTTGGAAAAAGGCTCGCTATATGCGAA